GATTTTCATTATTCCGAGTCGACATTTTATTGTTTGGATCAGTCGTTCCACGACACCTATAGATCTATGATCATCCAACGGGGCGAACAGAAGTTTTATGCTTTTTGATTTGCAAAATAATTGGAATTTTTAGCGCGAAATGTTTGGTTTTGATCGCATCTTAACCGGAGGGGTACCCCATCATTAGAAACGTATCGTTGCGTAAATTTCAGATACTACCTTAGCCGTCGGGAATTGAGACCCTTTGTCTACTAATATGCCACTAACTTGTACGCGTCTTTATTTAACTCGTCGGGGAGCGATCCCGCAAAATCCAGTTGGACCTCTTCGTTAGGTTCAACTACCGGTTCCATTTGGAATGAGTGTTGTTTACCAATGATTGGTTTTAAGTCTTTACCTTGTTGTGTACATTGGCGACATCCTTGTGCCATTTGTATTATTCCCTGTGTATATGCGGGAAGCAGATGTTTTGGCAAAGGTATAGCCATGGCCGCAGATCCGGGATTAGTGAAACGCAAATTGTCCAGAACTGTTCGTCTGAGTTGTGAGGGCAGAACTATCCGTTTGTCGATGAGTAGGCAAGCGTTTTTCACCAGCAATCAATTTCTTATGTTGTACCAGTACTGGACAAAAAAAAACTTTAGCGATTCCCAGTCCCGCTTAGTCACAAAATTGACGAGTGGCCTCACGTTTTTGTCTTTTCGGGTTGCAGCGGCGATAAAGTTCACACCCAATACTTTCTGGAGGTTTTTCCTGTACATCACCCACTACATCTTCTTCCTCTGTGTTGGTCTCCCTGTAGATTTTGGCGACGATTTCACAAACAATAATTTCGTGGCTGGCCTCCAATTGAGTAGTTGACATAGTGGGTGATTCAACGTTTGGTTGGGTTTCCTCCTGTATCGTGATGTTAGGGTCCACGCGGCTTACGTAGTATTTGTATGTTTCTCTTGTTTCTATTAAAAGGTCCTTTTTGATGATGGCGTTGACTGGTTCTGTTGTTGTTTGAGCGGATGTTGTCGTTGTTAGAATCAGAGGCGTCAATTTACTGGGTCCTTCCCCTGAGTCGCTGAAGACTATTTTCCGGAAAATTGCTGGTTTTAGTTTTATGTTTTCTCTCGCATCCTTGACGGTGGCTGGTTTTTGTTTCGTGTTTGATTTTTTTTGTTTGGTGGCCGTTTGTGCCAACAGGGGTCAGTCAGATTTTCCTATTGGTCTGAATCTCCTTGCCATAAGTCTTTGTTTGTGTTCTCTGCTGGTGAATTCCGTTCCCTCTTTTGCTGTTTTGGTATAAAACCCCCGTAAGTTTTTTCATATTTTGTTTCTTCATTTTGTCTGGCGGTCTCTCGTTGTATCGTTTTTGGTTTTTTGGCAAGTTGAACTTTCGATTTTGAATATCTGACTGATTTTGAAACTGAGATGTGAGCAAATGACTCAAGTTAAGAGTTAAACCATGTTTGAATGTTTGACCGCTTATACAAAGAATGAAATGGTTGGAATTCAATTGAGCGTTTGATGTCCCATTGCTTTCCGCGCGTTTTTTGATCAGCCGATAGGGCGATAGTTTCCTATTGGCTAATTGTTTTGGAAATAAGTTGTCAATCATTTCAAGATTGTTAACCAATGAGCTGATTGACGCCACAACAAATTCCTCATCATACGCGCTAGGGGGGTATTGCGACTCCAACCAGATTTCGGGATATATAGTCAATTAATCCCAATTTATTTCCTGCCAAATGTTTGATATCAAAAAAAGGGGTTAATCAATCAATCCACCTCGTTAGCCTACTTTAGCTTGTCTTAGATCGTTCGCTGGCGTTAAAGGCACTGATCAAAGCTTGATGATCAAAAACGATTGTGAATTTTTTTCCGTATAATTAGTATTTGAAGTGTTCTGTCGCCCATAAGACCCCCAATGGTTCTGGCTCAATTACTGAATATTTTTCTTCTAACAAATTTAGAAATCTTGACACATATGCAATAGCTACCCACCCTCTTTTGTGTTTTGTTCTAGGGTCGCGCAGAGTCCATATGTAGATGCATCAGACACTACACGTGTTTCAAGGTTTTGATCAAAATGCTTATTTTGAGTAATTTCTGCGAATAACTATTTAATCCTTTGGAATGCGGATTCATGTTCAGTCGACCAACTAAGTAATTTGTGCTTGTCTGAATTTTTCAGAAGAGGACGTAGTGCCACAACAGCCTGTGCCAAATGTTGGATATATCTTGTAAGATGATGGTTTGATCCCATGAAACTTTTAAATTATTTGAATGTTTTAGAAGGGGAAAGCTTTTCGATAGCGTCTGTTTTCGTTGATGAAGTGGTAGTCCCTTTGCTATCAATGTGAAACCCAAGCCATTTAATTTGTTTGCAAGCACACTTACAATTATCCAATGATATCGCGAGATTTTCTTCGTCCAGTTTGTGAATAAATTTTTCCAGTGTATCTTTAGGTTTTTCTACTAATCCTTTCGTAATAATTAAAATGTAATCTAAATACGCATATGTATTTTTACAATTAGTTAATGTCAAGTCAAGTGCTTTCTGGAGTTCTGCCGGCATATCTGTGAGGCCGTAAAGTCCAGTTTGGAACTGGTATGTTCCCGTGGCGTTTCCTCCAAGTAGACTAAATTTGCATTGATCTCTTGTTTTCTTATCCAAAGGGATTTGTGAATATGCGTATCGTAAGTCAAGGAATGAGATCAATGTTTGTTCTTCTGGGTCGGATTTGAGTAATAAATCGATGTTCGGAATCTGGTACTTGTTTTATGAATGAATTTAATAATTTTCTTTGAGTCTAATGCAAGTTTGACCGTTTGATCCTTTTTTAATGTTATCACAATCGGACTGATGAACTGTTTGTCGGAAAATTTCTCCAATTATATAATATGTTTTTGGCCGATTAGTTTGTTTAGTTCGTTTTCCACGCTTTCCTGTAAGTGGATTGGAATACGTCGACCCTTTTGTTGAATTGGTGTAACGTCCAGAATAAATTGTGTTTTCATAACATGGTTTTTCGACTTTCCGATTCCAACACATAATTTTGTGAATTTATCTTTTACCTATTGTTTCATCTCCGGGTGTGGTTTTTTCTCTTGTGTTATGTTTAGGACCTGTTTATATTGTGGTTTTTCCTCAACTAATTTTATTCCGATGTTTGGGAGTAGATAATGACCGAGAATGTTTGCTTTTTGATCAACCACCACAAAAAATGGGGCCGATTCGATAGTTCGCCCGCCGGATTCTATTGCTAGAATTAGTCGTCCTTTCGGGATGTAAGCTATTCCATTATAGCATGCTAGATCTCACAATATGTCTATTTAAATCTTCATCACTGGTATTTACCGTTTGTTTGATTTCAAATGCAACTGCTATTGCCATCATGGAGTAGTTATCTCTCTGTAGTTCCTCCCATCCGTGATCTGAATTCAGCAAAAGCAACTGGGTCGTTATCTTCGGTTTCGTGTGGTTGACTTTCCGTGTCATTTCTCGCTTCGTCTTCATTGTTATTTTGAAGAAAGCTTACATGATCTGAACGACAGACTCTCGCAAAGTGTCCTCGCTTTGCACAAATGCAAATTTTATCCCGGGCTAGAAATGTTTGTAGATGGTTAGGGCTGAAAGCTTTTCCATATTTATAGCATTGTTTTTGAGAAGTGTAGTTCTGCGGACCTCTGTTTTGATTTCCCCTTGTGTTTTGGTTTTGTCTTCCACGGGAGTATTTTCCTCTATTATTATTCTGGAAATTTGAAGAAAATTCGCCACGACTTCCAATGGGTTGGATGTAGCCCATTGATTCTTGTTTGATCGTCACAGGCGAGGTGGGTCCGATTGGATTCAATTTCACAGTCTTGCTGTGTTCGATGACCTTTTCACGTCTTATTGCATATTCGTATGCCTCTTGTGGCGTTCTTGTTTCGGCTAAGAGCTCTTCGGCATTTTTTTCATTCTTCATATGCGCGGTGAACATATCACGAACCCATTCAACCTCCTTGAGTCGACAGTCTGCATGTGAAGCTATTTCCACCAGATCCGCTTGGAACTGTTCCAGCGTTTCATTTTTTTCTTTGTGTACGGCAAATAAAATTGTATCTTTCGAATGAAATTGTATGATTCTTTGTGTGATAAAGATGTCTTCCAATACTTGTTTTAATTGTCTTGTCGATGTTGTTTGTATATTTAGTCCTGGTCGTTTTTGTTGAACTTGTCTTTGTCCTTTCATGCCATACATAGAAATAGAAATAAATAGCTTCGTACTCTCGCATCCGCCTCGTCCCAGATTACTGAGTTGCACATAACGCATTTGTCTCTTGCTTTTTGTCAATTGCCTATTGAATTACAACTGCGTGGGGGATTTAAACGCGGGGGGGGGGGGGTTAAACGCTTTAGAGGTGAGGTAAACGCGGAGAGCGGGGGAGACGTGGAGTTTCTGGTGATGGGGCGAAAAATTTTTGGGGAAAGGGGTAGCGGGAAATTGTTGAGGTGGGTTAGTGAGTAGTGAACAAGGGGATAAACATGTCCGTTCTGGTTCGAGTTTTGCAGAAAGCTGTAAAAAGATATGTACAAACACTTGATTTTTATGGTTTTTATATACAAAAATTGATCGATTAAATTGAAAATAAAAATGGATTATGATTGATTATGATAGATTTGATGGATTTTTTTTTGAAAAAAAGTTTGTTCATAATGGATTACAAATCCATTACAATGTGTAAATCTGCCACAATAAATTAGCAACAATTTCGTTAACAAAAAACCATACTCGGTTTCTATCCATTAAACCTCGGTGTGGGAACCAACTCCGGCAACATTTACTATTATAATAGCGAGAAAAAGGCTATTTTGACCGCGATTATATCATATTTTAATTCCGCCAAAATATTTTTTTTTCTCCATAATCTCAAGATAATCTATTTTTTTGCCATTTGATATAAACCAGTACTAAAACAACGAAAAAAATCACAACGATGTCTTACGTCTTTTTATTCTAATTCGTCTGTTTCTAACTGTAGATTGCGTTTTCTTGCGTCTAAGTCTTGTTACATCTAATTCGTCTGTTTCTAACTGACAGATGGTTGCGTAAGAAAATTAAAAATTGAAACTTACGGTTAATTAAGAAACTATAATTAGTTTTTCGCTCTAACTGAAGCGATATCTCTTAGCTGTTCTTCAAAGCTCAAAGAAGTGCATAATCTGAGTCTCGAAAGCTCAATGGTATTCATTTTTTGTATTTGATCTTTTATACAAAAAAAAAACATGCAAAATGCGAAAAACCCTGTAAACCGTATTTACTATCTCTGAACAAGATTTTTGAATTTTAATGAAAATAATAGAGGCAGTCTAGCATGCTTTTTGATTTTCTTATGTGCCTAGTTTAGGCTTGTTTTGGTTGATTTATTTGCCATTTGTTTCGTATCAATAACATTCAAATGCCTATTGAGAATTTTGGCAGGGAGACCTGGGGTCCCAGAAACCCTGAATAAACGTCAGTAAATGAGGAAAAAGACCTGACTGGCTTAATGTTTTCTGAGATCGAGGGATTTTAGGCCTGCCGGGAGTCATAGCAAGCTTGATGTCGGCAGGATTTCAGAACGTGACTATAGTAACGATGGATGATTTTACGTTCAAGATAGAACAAGCAAAGAAAACTTGACAGAAATCATTATTCGCAATCAATAAACTGAAATTAATCATTCCTGTCTCTCAAAACCAGCTGAAATATTTTTTGTTTTAACCTTTTTTGCCGAGAGGGTTTTATTTTGACCAAACATTCCTCCTGAAGGACGTTTTTTAGTAGATAGCTTGGAGAAAAAAGTGCTCGCAGTTAATTATTTTGTTTGTGTCTTCTGGCGCCGACAATGATAAAGCTCACCTACTAATTAATTTCTGGTTTACCACCTACATACTTTTCTGATACATAACATGTACAACTCACGAAAATTTTCACCTACGAAAATCTGAAGCACAAAAAAGATCTGTATTTAAGTCCATATGTCTGAAAGACCATCAGATTTTTAGCATATGTACTGAGCTTTTTTGTTAGTTTAAAAAACCAATATTGTAATCAAAACATAACTTTTAAATTGTAAAACTGAAGAGAATGTTGAATACTGATTTAAGTGACAACTTAATTGAGTCGGGATTAGCTGCGCTTTTTATATACAGCTGAAAAAATATGTGATTTAAAATCTGATTTAAAGTAGATTTTATATTTTTATAGACTTTATCAATGAAAGTTGAAAGAACTTCTTTAGAGCGAACCAATAATAATTGAAACTGCAGTGACAGCAACAGCGAAAATCAGTTTTTGACTGATCGATTTTACTTCAAAAAGATATGAAAGAATAATAATGATGGGTATTTAACATTACTACTCCTGTTTCTCTGACTGAAGTTAGCGGCTGCTGCCTGCGAAGCACGAGCACGAGGGTGATCCGTGGTTGGTGGAACTTCTCCGGATCAAACAGGTAGAAAGTTTTTGGATGCAGACTTTAAAGAATGTCCCTGAAGGTTCGACACCTTGACTACCCAAAGGGTCCCTTCCCTACTACTTTACAACATCCATTTTTTGTCATCAAATTTTGTTTTGTTTTGTTTTGTTTTGTTTTGTTTGTCATCAAATTTTGTTTTGTTTTGTTAATGTGCGCCGCACCTGGATTGCTCTTCGAAAAATTCCTGGAAACCCCACTGGAATTGGAGGCAATTTTTTCTTTTTTAGTAAAAACAGTGGTACAATGAGGAAACTGACTTAAACGAAAAGCTTAAACGATTTGCTGAAACCAGAATAATCATCACCTTTTCCTCACTGACTGTTTTAGATAAATTTCAGTTTCTTCTTCAAAAGTTTTCAAACCAACGTCTTCCACCGTAAGCAGTACCAATTTCAGGGCTTTTATTTGGAACTGCATGTCTGCATGTTAGAATGTGATTTGAGAAACCTTTTTCAGATAATTTCAACAGAAATTCGAAACAATGCTCTTTCAAATTCAGATTTAGTTTCTTCGCTCAGCCTATCTTTTTTTCATTTTTTATTCTGGTTCCTTTTTAGTTGTTGATCAAGCATACGCAACCTTGATTTTTTTCAGAAAGAGAAGAAAACTTTCTGATATTCTAATGTGAGTTTTTGTCAAATTTATACATGAGCTTACTTCGCACCTCTCAAATAATTGACCTCTCAGACAAGTTTTGTTTTTACGACCCAATCATTGATTAGGTCTGTCAATGTTAAACAGCCGTTCGCTTTTATCGATATTATGATGAAATCATAAAAAACAGGTCATAAAATCAAGATACATGTATTAGTCTAGGGACTTTTTATGCAGTCTATTTCTTCAACCAACTTTGATTTTTATTTATGGAATCCTAAGTGTGCTATGACACCAAACAGTGAAATTTTTGATTGGTGTTTTTAATTAATTAACGGCGTATACATTATTCTAGTCTGATGATCATTATTGATTTAATTAAGTCTGTAATTTGTTTTAGATTTTCAGAAGAAAAACTATCGATAAAGATGGATAACTTCAGTTCTGTACTCTCCGACGAAGAAAGATCTCAAATTACTCAGTATGAAAATATTTTCAAATCTATAGCCACACAGAACCAATTCGACTTTCTGCCAAGTGAACACCTAATGAGCCAATCATTCTCCACTACAGATGTTTTAGAGAATCAGCAGACATTTCGACATAGCTGGGATACCAATAATTCAGCCGATTGTAGCAAATTGGCGAAAATGCGAATTCAAAATGGAAATACCAAATTTTTATCTCCAATTTGCAATCTTGATGAAGATACTATGCCTGGTGTAATAGATCTGATGAACGAGGAAGAGTCATTACAAGAAAATCCTTTAGTCAACACCTCGCAGTATTTTATGCAAGGGCCCCCAGAATTGATACTTCATGGCAAATTGAGTCCAAGTAAGTTCAGAAGAAGTTTTTCAACGTCAGAACATTGTAGTTTTTCAAACCAGTGCAACCAAATAGAAACATACGAAGGACAAAGTTTCGGGTTGTCCGATTATCAAGAATCAGTTGAAAATTTTCTGGATGATAACACCACGGGCGAGTCAATGTCAGAACAAAAGAAGCCAGAAAGCTTCTTCATTGGAGCCAGTAAGTCATACAAAGCGCCTCAATCTTACAATGTTTCAAGGGACCAGCTTTATTTAGACGGAAACCATTCTGGAAATTTCGCACCGGACTCAAGCAAAATGACTTTTCACTCATTTCAACGGAAACCATCGGTAATAAATGGACATGAGCTTGAAATGCATGCAAACAGCCCTCGTGGTTCGATCGATCCGAATCAATTACAAAATGAAGCGTGCTGTCAATTAGAAGCAGAATCATTCCTGCAGAAAGTGACCGTTATCAGCGAAACGAGCGTAGGTGGACCATCTAATTTCGAGATCTCTCCCCCTTCATTGTCTAATGCAACCATCGCTTCATCGCTAGACTCAAGTTCTCTGGAAAATTCCCCGCCTTTTGTTCAAAACCAAACCTATGTTATTAGTTATAACCCTGTATATACATGCCAAGAGCAAAACGGAATTTTCCAACAAAACCAAAGATGTTTGAAGGTCGAACCAAATCAAAGCGAAAAGCAATTTTGTGAACCTCAACCATTTTTTGAGCACAGATTCTTAATCACAAATAACATCAACGGCCCAATTAATTCCTCAAACGATAGTGGTAATATTATGACCAGGTACTTCGGCAATCAGGGTTTCACTGTTGGTCAATCTGTAAACCATGTTCAAGCGACGAAGCAACTTGCATGTATAGCGCATCATTTGCCTTTTGACGAAGACCGGGGAAAACCGGATTTCGATGCGCATTCTCTCCAGCCGGTTTTTAGTTGCAGAAATAAAAACCTTGAGGAGTTTGCAAGCAACGTTGAAAAAGAGAGGCGAAAGGATTACGTGCAATTGTTCAGATGCTGGGAACCTTCGTGCAACAAAGTCTTCTCGCGGAGGTCTCAACGAAAAATCCACATGCGCATGCATACAGGTGGGAAACTTAATTTAATTTTTTCAAATTAGTCTTCCTATGCAAAAATTTTACCAAGTTCTGGTTGTTTTTGTAGAATTCTCTCATCTTGATTCTTCATAGATTTTTAAAACTATTCAGAACAAAATCTCTCCTTTTTCTCATATGAAAATAGGTGTAATTTATTTTTTAAAGATGAGCTAGAAAGGAATACAAATATTAAACTCGTTCGTACCCAGCAGAAGAGAAAATCCTTCTGCTTCGCTTCAATTGGTAATTTTTTGCACAAAGGCTTATAAAGGAAATGTATAATCGCATGTGTGCTTTTCGGGAAAAAAAGAGATAATTTTCCCCTCTTGATTATTTATCCCTGACTAGGATTGCTACAGTGGATTTACCCCCGCTTTTAAATCCAGTGGTCGGTGATTCAAATCCACGCTGATCAGTTTCGTTGTTTGAGGGTGAGGCAACGTATACCAGCAAAAAAAAACTTTTATACACGGCACGAATGCGTTTCTCTCGGTGAGCCGAATAGCTCGTATGTTTGATCCTTTTCCCTTGTAAGGATAAAAAGTCTTATTGGCTGAAATAGAGATCATACGTATAAGTTGATTGGTATTGGTTGCCATTCAAGTTTTTGTTAAAGTTTAATTTTTTCCACGAGGGTATAAAGGACCACTGCGCGATCTATTCTGCTCATAACGGAGGATAGCTGCTGCACATTTTTTGTAAAAACCGCTTTGCATTTAGATGTTATTAATCCGATTTAGAGGAGGAGTCCTTTACTTAGGCGCGTAATTGGACGTTGTTAACCATTTTATAGATAAGATATTAAGAACAGGTAGTGGAAAATTGTAACATCTGAGGAAGTTGCATCAGTTTTCTGCAATAAGTCTCGATATTTGTTTTGTTCAGGTGAGAGGCCGTTCAAGTGTGATTGGAAGGGATGTTTTAAGAGGTTCAACAGGTCAGACGAACTGGGCAGACACAGGAGAGTGCACACGAAGGAGAAGCCCTTTCAGTGCCACATATGCAGCCGTAAATTCGCACGCTCAGACCACCTCAAAGTTCACATCAACAGACACAAAAACCGCAACGAGTTCTGACACTTCAAGCAACGTTTGAAGGGGTCTATTTTTTCAAATTGAGGAGGGGGGGGGGGAGGTAATGCGTTTTTGTAGGTTTCAAAATGTCTCCATATTTGTTCAGAAGCTTCTTCTGACACAGAATTTTTTTCGAAAGTTGCATCCTCTTCTCAAGTCAGGTTGTCCAATTCCTCAAAAAGACCAGACATTGCAAAAAAAGTTGGTAACATTTTATCGAAAACCCCCTATCTTATCACGACTCCTTAGCCATGCAAAGAGTCGGCACGCTTATAGCTTCCTCATTAAATATCCCCCAAATCAATGGCGTGCCAAAAATGGGAGCGTAAGAAATAGTAACACGAGGAGTCCCTCTGGAAACAATTGAATATAAAAATTAAATAGACGCCCTCACCCCCACCCCCCCCCCCCCGCCAGCGCCGTAAATGGAGCAAGAAGCTATCTTTAAGAAACATCCGAGAAATTGTTGACGACTCCAAATCCACAAAAAAGCACCAACTGTAGATAAAACAAAAATGAATTTTCTGCTTTATACAGACAAATCTTTTCAATTATTTTTGCTACAGAACAGAAGTATCGAATGCAATATAAATATAGTACGCAGATTGAAATTAATGATTTTGAAAACCCAATTTTTACTAAAATTATATCAGTTTGCCGATAAATTTATATTTTTGAGTCTAAGTTATCAATTCAAGCATTACAACTCAAAGGTGCAACTAGGTCCTTAATTTGCACAAAACTTTCTGCGGTGAGAAGAGTTTCGTTGGTTGGGATAAGTAACATCAAACATCAAACAAGCCGACCAAACTTATTTTCCGAGCTCCAGAAATTGACATTTTTAAATTACTCTGTTTTCTGCGCCAATTATTGTTCCGACTTTCGATACGAAAGTGACGGAATATTTGTGCTCGGGGTGGGTTTTTTTTTTCTTCAGACAAATTTTGACTTTTTAACTAGCCATTTTTGACGGAATTTTTTATATCATTCAAAAGGTATTGTTGTCCTGAGCTCAAATTTGAAAAGATATTTTACCTGTGATTATTTTTCGTAAAGTTATGAGGGTTTAAAGATTGCCATTTTGGCCAATTTGACCAATTTGGGACAATTAACACGCGATATAATTCGCACTATTAACGCATAAGCGGAGATTTAATCCGTCTTATAAATCGTTCCAAATTAGTTGAACGAAGCTTATTTGCCATAATTGATTTGGTAAAAGGAGCGAAATTTATCCTTTTGTACTTTATATGGCGTGTGGGGGAATGATTTCCAAAAAAATTTTCAAATTTTAGAAAAAAATTTTTTTCTTTTTATTTTATTTCATTTAATTTTTTTATGTTATTACTGCTGCTTCATAAAACTTAAAAGGCAGTCGGAACATTCAGGGCTTCGCCCTGATACGAGCAGTCTTGTTTACATGTTGCTCTCAAACATCAGAAAGCATAACCGCAGAATTTTAGGTCAAGGATAAACGCAGACAATTTCACAAATCTTAAATCTTGATTTGTTCATAAAATAAATTTTTCGTATTCATTTTATCATACTCAACCTATGAGTACTGCCAACAGCGGTTTTTATTTGAACGAATCAGTCATAAACTTGCTACTGTAATCAACACGTTTTGTAACTTCAATACGTTAATATGATATATTTTTCGCTTCGATTCATGTTTTTAAGCTGATAAACCGCCGAACCATTGACTCGGTCAAATCATCGATCTATCGGCAAATAAAGTGCTTTGATGTTTTTCGAGTAAAGCTGTTAATTAAACTCGTTTTGTGTCAACAAGCTGTAGAATTATAATTTTTTAAAGATTAAAACTGTAATTTGAGACAAATCAGCATGTTTTCATGCCTTTAGCAGACTTTCTTTGCTTCGGCAATTTTCTGTTTTTTTAACGGTGATTAGAAAATGTGAAGCTCTGAAAGGTTACAACTCAAGACATGAAAGATCAAACGCCAGCTTGATGACCTCTTCGGGGGTATTGCTGCTTTGAATCTTATATATTAAATGAATGACATGTTTTGAGCATAATACCTAATGTTTCATGAGATGTTTCATGAGATGTTGCATAAGATCGAGTGCAACGTTTGAAAAAGCTTAAATCAGAACGTTTCAGAATCATTCAGTCTAGAACATTCTAGAAATTTGTTTGAAAAAAGTCAGGAACTATTTAAACAAAATGAATTCGATTGAACTTCAAGGTTAGACGTTATAGATTTTTACAAATTTTTCGGACAGCGCATTAAATTTCTGAAATAATTCTGTCCTACAAATTTGAACTAACTAAAAATTCTATTTTGAAGGTTCGCGGTTGCCATTTTGTCGGCGTTTTTTGCTTTGAAAAATTACTTGGCAAATCGTTGTTGAATGAAAAAAAAACTTTTTTAAAGACCTAATGTTTACGGGGCTATCAAGCGCAAATTTGTTTGTGCCTTATGAGTTCTAGTGAAGTTTTGGAAATTCGATTGCTATTTTAACGCCTTTTCCCTGTCTCAAAGTCAGAATTATTTCAAAACATTTCAGACGTCGTCCGATAAATTTGTTAAAAGCTTTACGTCTCCTTTTTTTTCTAAAAAATTGCGTGCACAGATTCTTTTCAGTCAGAAACGAATCAACGAGACTCAGCAACTTCAGTGCATAAAATTTTTTTAACTGTTCACGAGTGATTCGGTCTATGAGTTAACTTGAAATATTTCAAAAAATCATAGTTTGAATAGCTTGCTTCAAAAAACTTAAAACTTTTACTTACGAGTGATTCGATCTATAAAATAACTTGAAATATTTTAAAATTTCATAATTGAAATTAAGTAACTTGCTTAAAAAAGCTTAAAATTTTCACGTGATTCGGTCTATGAAAGAACTTGAAATATTTCAATCTTCATAATTTGAACCGTTTGCTTCAAAATACTTGAACTTTTTACGAGTGATTCGATCTATGAAATAATTTGAAGTTTTTCAAAATTTCAGCTTGAATTGCTTGCTTAGAAAAATTAAGGTTTTCACCAACCGATTTGGTCCATGAAAAAACTTGAAATATTGCAAATTTTCGTAGCTTGAAAGCTTGCTGAGAAAAACTTAAATTATGAACTAATTTGAATAATTTCAAAGCTTGAATGGCATTAAAAGAAAACTTTAAGTTCTCAAGCTTGAATAGCTTGCTTAGAAATCAAAGTGAGGTTTCGTCAGCAATTCCGTTTTCTTCCTGTAAGTGCGGTGAATGACATCAGATTTAAGCTGAAAGCTGTTTTTATAAAAACCTAAGAAGTCGTTTTCGAGTTGAGTTTATTCTGCACCCATTGCACTTAAGCACAACCAAAAAATCACCCAGTGCTTTGAAAGACTAGGAACTTAAATTTTTTTTTATCAAGATCTTTCAGCTCAGAGACACACTTCAGTCAAAAATAAAAGCGGTCAAGGTTGAAAGGTCAACCAATCAGTGTAACCAGTATTCGAAAAACACATGAGATAAGGATTGATGAATTATGCAACCTCGCTAACTACACAATTGACCCCATTAACACGCCTGCAGGTTTTTAAATTGTCTCTGATGAATGTAAAACATGCGGACGATAAAATAGTGGAAATCAACCAATAATACTTGAGATTTGTTGAATCTGCTTCGCAATTGGACTCAGCGGATGACTTCCCGCTATTTTTTTGACTTTGTCGATCCAGGAAATGTTACTTCTGCGACCCAAAATTCCTATCCTGAACAGTGTTTTAGGTCAAGGACAAATTTTGGAAATTGCGTCTCTCGGTAGCGATGGTCGAAAAATTAGTCGCGGTGGTCGCAAAATTAGTCGCGGTGGTTGCAAAATTAGTCGTGGCGGTCGAAAAGTCAGTCGCCTTTGAAATTTCGAGGAGGCGACCTCCGGTTTAAGGCGTCCAAACCTACCATGCTAGCCATTATACGTTTTTACTCTGATATATTGTAACTTGTACTTTACTCAAATGCTCAAATATTTAAATACTCAAATGTTCAACTGAAATATTCAATTTGAAATTTCTCAAAAATCAAAATTTTAGTTGTGCAGAAGCAGATTGAGCCTCGTTACAGATAAACGTACTCATTGAACTCAATTCAGGGGAAACATGAACTGACACTAGCAAAGATGCAATCCGAGAATATAAAAAGGGTAATTCATTCTCACCTCCAACCTAGCTGAATGGAAAACAAGTTGAGACAAAGAGGGAATGAGATGATGCTCAGAAAACTTGTCTGAGAAAACCAAAACGATTTTCAGAAGGCTACAAACGTTGAGACAGACTTTAAAGACGAAAAATCCGCTATAATTTTGGCCATGAACAAAACCAATCTGACATCAAACAGGACGAAACAGTTTAAACTTTAAACTTTATCCGAAAAGACTCATTACTGCAGTGGAACTTTGACCAAAAAATTGATTCACTTAATGGTATCAATGCATCGAGCGTTTTATGAGCAAGCTCTTTGTCTTACTCTTCTTCAATTTCTGAAAATAAGAAGACTCTACAAGTGATTGTTGCGTTTCATTTACTCCAGAAAAACATTAGTCGAATTTATAAGACTTTCAGCAGAGTTGACATTTCAGTTTAAGGGTGGTTGTTATATAATTTGAAAGATATCGATGCTCTCAAACGGTAATAAGTTTTCGATTGCAGGGTTCTTGCTGTCTTGTTGAGCATTGAATGACGCAATTTTATCATAAGTGAAAAGCGCAAAATTTCGGACAAAAAGTCCGTTGCAAAGCGCAACACTTATCACATAGTACTCGCATTTCCTTAAAAAGGAAGTTTTTTGTTTATAATTGGACTTATTTCTCGTTGCATTTACAGTATGTCCTTGCAGGTTGTGAATGGTATTACTTTTACAAGTAAGTTCATGGCTCTTTGAAAATTGTTGGGAATATCGCCTAGTTTATAAAATCCGGTCAAAATTGGTACGTACCCATGATGTCGTGTGTCGGTGCGTACGCTAAAAAAAAGTGCATTGATTTCTTAAATTTTCGCATAATTTCAGTTGGCGGTATGAATTGTTTAAATCAAGGTTAAAAACCAGGCCTGCCGGTCGGTTTTTTCCGATAGTTGAAGCGCAACAGTTTTCATTAGTCCATAAATATTAGGCATCTGATATTTGTTTTCGAATATCAGA